TCCTACGTCCTTCTCTTCTATCAACCCTTTCCTTCCTATCTCTAATTGTCCTTCTCCTTCCTTTATCCTTGTTTTTCTTTTTCTCTCCGTTACCCCTCCCTCTCCCAGGGGCGTGCTGATGGTGTGTTGGAGGTGAGGCAGACGGAACAGGGAGTGAGTAACGAGAAGAAAAAAGAAAAACAAGGATAAGAAGAACCAGGACAATGAAGATAGAAGGAAAGGGGTGATAGAAAGGAAAAGGACGTAGGAGGGAGCGAAAGATGATGGAGATAAATGGAAAGGCTTGAAGACATGGGGAAGAAGAACAAGACAAAAGAAATAAAACATATTAAGAACACTTTTAATTAAGTGGAGAACAAATTTAAGTTCAGACCGAGTTTTGCAACAGTTACACTGAGTTTATTATAGGCCCTGGAAATGGATAGCAGAATGACCAGCAGCGATATAACACTGTAGGGTGTCTTTACATGACTTATTTGCAAATTGTTAATTGTTATTTTCATCCTACGCTTCCTTAAGCACCTGTCACCATCATGCAAGAGGCAGAGGTGAATCTGCCATATTAAACAAGTTAACAATGGGTAGGGTGCCACAATGTTGCATGTGACGGAGCGAGTCACAGGGGACTGACTCCGCCACTGACAGCCGACACACCACCACCACACACCGAAAACATTTGCTGCTATGAACCAATAAAATTATTATTTTACTGTGCGCTGTTTGTATTTTGTAAATGATATGAGGTGTAACCTGTTTATTGTTGAGGTCGGATTTTTTATGTAGAATGTGTGAGTCGATTGTTCACCTGGGACTGCTTGTCTCCTCCCCCCTCACCTGTGTCTAATTGCTCCCCCCTTTAACCTGTGTCATGTTAGTCTGGATTAAAGCTGTGTTTCTTGTTGGGCCGGGAGGGGGTGAGATCCTTGTGTTTTTTTTTGAGGATGTGAATTGGACGAATGGTTGGCAATAAGGCAGAACAGCGGGACATGTGCAAGGTGGGGTGGCAGAGGAAGGCCAACGCCAGAGCAATGTCTACTCGAGAGGACTGGACGGGTCCTGTTTTGTTTTTTTTGGATTTTGTTGTCAACTGTACTGTTCGCTATTTTTTTTGTTTTGCTGCTGTTATTAAATTGTTTGGAGCTCAACCCAACCGACTAGGCCAGTGGTTTTTTGAACGGACAATTGAACCCCGTCACAGTTGCATAATAGAATACATTTATAATCTAACTGTCAGTGGATCATTGTCCCTGTGGTTTAGTGTTGTAGGTGCTTAAATAATGGAAAATTTGGTTTAAAGTGTGTTAAGTTAACCTTGACAGTTTGGATACTTTCTTTCTCTATGTGACGTTCCATACAGTCTTTGAGGCACAATATAGACCTGGTTCTCGAATCAAATTAAAAAAAAACACTAACATCTGGCTTTTGTCTTTAGTGGGAAATATTACAATTAACAATTATTCCTAGGACAAAAAACTATGCAGTCACAGTATTTAGCAGCTCCAGCTCAAATTAGCATTGGTGGCAATAAACATGAGATCTGGGTAGACACAGACACTAATATTTTCCCCCTTTTCTGACGCAAGCTTTGTGATACGTGTTCAAGTGAAATATATCAACAGGGATTTGGACAATTATTTAAAATGTATTAACGTACAAAACATCAGGTGGAAGAAGTATTAAGATCCTTTGCTTAAGTAAAAGTAGTGATACCAAAGTCTGAAAATACTCCACTACAAGTTAATGTCCTTCTACTTAAAGGTAGGGTAGGTAATTCACTTCAGAAACACTTTGTGTTATATTCCATGGAATGCTCTTAATATCCCGATAGCAATGAATACAATAAATGCTTTGACAATAAATATATTTCATCTGTGGAAGCCGTGGCGTTGTAAAAAGCAAGTCCAATAATCTGCCTCGGCCCACGGCAAATAATTGGACGGCCTACCTGCCTGGCAGCCTCCCATCTCGGGCACAAACTTATCTCGTGCCTTCATTGGTCATGTGCGCGTTAGTGTGTGTTGGAGGAGGGGCTCTGTAAGGAAGTCTGAAGGAAGGACTGGCAGATTTTTTTCGGTTGTGTACTTTCAAATTCTAGTGCGCTCGAGCTGGTTTCTCCATTCTATACCCTACCTTTAACTTATCGTATAATCAGACAAATGTAGGCTACCATTATTAGAGAATATTACATTACCTGTCTATATTATATNCATTTCTCTAACCGCCTGCTGCTTCCCCTCCTCTCTCCTCGGTTCCCCTCCTCTCTCCTCTGCTCGCATCTCCTGTGGGCAGCACCAAGTCT